CCCAGACTGGACCAGCGATCTCTGGACTGTGGGGTTACAGTATGATGCAGTAAGGCCCTTCAATCTCCAGAGGGAACCTCACAGGGGTGCAAACAGAGACCAGCGAGGTCATCCTGCTCTGGTGCTGGAAGACCGCGCCACAGAAGGGGGCGGAGACAGCATTTTAACAAACCCACGCTCACGCCGAGGCTCAGAACACGAAGACGGGCACGAGAGCACAGAGCCCTCGGCCTGCTCGAGCGACGGACAGGCCAGTGGGTATCTGACAGACTCCTGCACGAGCGTGTTAAAGCGCATTCCCTCACTCTGCGGCTCTGCTCTACTCCAGCCAGTGCCCGTGCACACTCACACACCCAGCATGCTGCGCTCCTCCATGCCAGTACCTCTCTGAAGGTGCAGCATTCTCCAGAACTGAGTCCTGAGATCTGCAGGAGAAGACACGACTGTTACAGCCCTGTCAGGTCCTCTGACAGACCCCCGTCCTCCCAGATCCAGCCTGCTGACGCCCGATTTACTGTAACTAACTGGCGAGAGCTCCAGCACTCCTCCGGGATATTTTTACCCATCTGTCGGGCCAGACAGACAGACCTCAACAGACAACTCTGTCCGCCAGGTCCCGGTTTAACGGACAGAGCTTACACAGGTCTGCAGAAATAAACATTCCCAGATACAGCTGGGTATAAATAGCCCCGCAGCGCCGCATCAACACTCCAGCAGCACATGAGGGAGGCTCCAGCGAAGGCACGTACTGCCCTGACCGGCAAATCAAACACACACACAGGGGTGCACCCAGACAACACCACCAAACCTGGACTGGATCACCTGCAGCCCAGCGGAGAATTCCACCCCCCACAGAGGCAAGCCCAGACGGGCTGCTAGCTCAGAGCAGCACCCTCACTGCCGTGGGACAGCAGTACTGCACACCCCTCCATCACCCAGGCGCTCCCATCTCCCCCTCTGTCCGCCTGGTTCTGGGTCCCAGTGCAGGATGAGCCCCTGCACCCCAGAGATCACAGCTGGGGTCCCAGTGCAGGATGAGCCCCTGCACCCCAGAGACCCAGCCGGAGTCCCAGTCCAGGACGAGCCCCTACACACCAGAGATCACCGCTGGGGTCCCAGTGCAGGACGAGCCCCTGCACCCCAGAGATC